CACTCCACCTAGTGGGGGATCGTCCTACACTGTGTTTTTACGTACTGGGTCGCCACTCAAGAACCTTTCTTCTCCATCGGTTGTCGGTTCTGTAGGAGTACAAACCTCCTTATGAGGTTGTTAAAAGAATTATATATAAAAACTATTGTGACATTTATGACAAATGGATTAAATTATAAACTTTTGCTATGAATCAATCTGTGTTTTAATATACGATAATACAACATTTCTGGCGACGAGATGTCGTTCGAAAAATTCCAATTCGATATATTTAACAATAAAAATGAAGATGTTATTACATCCAACGATTTTCGATAAACTCATCTTGATGGCGAAGAAACAGAAAACAAACGTAAAAAAATATTTCTCTCACGGATCGGACCAGCCGCTTTCAAGGTATTAGTGGACTATTTTCGGCCTATACCAGTAACAACAAAAACATATACAGAACTCAAAGATGTATTAAACGAATATTACGGAAAGAAAACATATGTTCTTTCAGAAAGAGTAACCTTCGCTACCAGATACCGGCAAACTAATGAAACTATTTCACAGTTTATCTTAGAACTTCGTTCACTAGCTGGATACTTGAATTCGGAAAAAATTAGAGGAACGCATTAGAGATCAACTGGTAATAGGAATTAACAACACAGTGTGGCAACAAGAACTTATCAAACAACATCCAACAAATAGCGCAAAGCTTACTGATATTATAGCTACGGCTAATAAATTAGAACAAGCAGAGATCCAAACGCAACGTCTATCGAATAGTTTTCAAACAAATACGGACCCACAAAACATCAATAAATTGAAAACAAGAAATTATCAAAAAACAAATGAAACTAATAATAACACAAAATGTACATTCTGGGGCAGAGACTTTCACAGAAATATGAACGACTGTCCCGCAAGAGGCAAACGATGTAGCGCCTGCGGGAAACAAAATCATTTCTCTTCAGTTTGTATAACTAGTGGACGGCTCAAAATAAAAAAATTTAGAAATACTAGACTTATAGCCACAAATAGTCATATGGAACAACAAAACAACAATGAAAACGAAAATTCTGATAATGAAAGTGTTCAGACATATGCCATTAGCCTATATAACAAAGTCAGTAAAGTCATGATTCCAACTCGACTTAACAATAAAAATGTGGAAATGCTGTATGATCCAGGAGCAGTACATTCTGTAATTGGTGTAAAACTATGGAAGGCCATAGGATGTCCCAAATTGCAAAAATGTAAAAATCTGATTGCTTACACAGATGTACAAATTGAAACATTAGGAATGTGTCCTATAAAAGTCAAAGCCTTTAATGCGGAGAAAATATTGACAGCTTATGTTACTCAACAAAATGATATTCCGCTTTTTGGATTAAACTGGTGTATTAAATTTAAATTGCCAATGCCACCGGGTGCCAGACTTTGTAATATAAAAGAACCTACAGCAGTAACGAACGATACAGAGTATACAAAATATAACACTGAAATAGCAGCTATTTTTAGTGATTTTAAAATACTTTTCGATGGCAAACTTGGAACAATAAAAGATCATTATGCCAAAATCCATATTCCAGACGGTGTTCAACCAAAGGCATTCCGACCACGTCCTGTGCCTCTTGCATTACGCGAACAGGTGAACACTGAACTCAAGAGATTGGTAGATGAGGGGGTTTTGGAACCTGTTGATACAATGGCAACCCCCATAGAATGGGCATCACCCATCGTCATTGCTATAAAGGCAAACGGAAACGTTCGTATATGTGCCGATTTCAAAGTAACAATTAACCAGCATGTACAAATAGATGATTATCCTTTACCAAGATTTGAGGAAATAACTTCTAAATTGTCAGGAGGACAACTTTTTACAAAAATTGATTTAAAGGATGCCTATTTACAACTGTTAATACATCCAAACTCGAGAAAGTATTTAACCATCGTAACTCATAAAGGATATTTCCGTTATAAACGTTTACCCTTTGGAATTTCATTTGCACCAGCTGTTTTTCAACGAACAATGCATCATATACTCAGCGGCTTAGATGGAGTAGTTTGTTATTTGGATGATATTTTAATAACAGCAGGTGACCTACAAGAGCATTTAACTCGGGTGAGAGCAGTATTACAAAGATTACAGGATTTAGGCCTAAAAAGCCAAATAAGTAAATGTGCTTGGTTACAGGACAGCGTAAAATTTTTGGGTCATAAAATTGACAGACATGGTTTACATCCAACAACAGAAAGAATCGAAGCCATAAAGAAAATGCCCCTTCCGACTAATACAACCGAACTTCGTGCCTTCTTAGGTTCGATAACCTATTATGGACGTTTTATAGATAATTTACACATGCGATGCGCCCCACTTTACAGACACTTAAAAAAGAATGAAAGATGGGCGTGGACTGAAGATGACACAAACATAGTAAATGAATTAAAAAACATTCTAACATCCAATGACACTCTCACCCATTATAACGGCAATGAATATCTATGTTTTGTAGTGATGCTTCAGACAAAGGTGTGGGCGCAGTGTACTATTCCACAAGATAAATAACGTAATGAAGCCAGTAGCATATGCATCGAGAACACTATCGCGCGAAACGATATTCTACCATAGATAGAGAAGCGCTTGGAATAGTATACGCTGTAACAAAATTCCATCAATACTTGTATGGTAGAAAGTTCACATTACTTACTGATCATAAACCTCTTGAAAGAATCTTCAGTCAAAACAGAGAAACACCCAAAATAGCGAGCAACCGCTTACTTAGATGGGCGATGGTACTCAACAGTTATGAGTATATAATACAATACCAATCAGCGAAAGAAAACACTCCAGCAGATGCATTATCAAGGTTACCATTGACCAATAGTACATCTTTAGAAGAGAGAATGGATACCCAATTTTGCACATTTACTACATGAGACTACAGAACATCCCTGTAACGAAAAAAGAGTTAAGAAATCAAACTACTAAAGACAGAACTTTAATAAAATAAACAGTATTTAACATCACACTGGCCAGAAAAGAAAGACCTATCTTTAACGAGTTTCAACTTATTTCGAAAAAAAACAAATGTCTTTCGAAGACGGTATCGTTTTGTGGAAAGGGAGGTTATGTATACCGAACACACTCAAACAATCCATCCTAGAAATGTTGCATGATGGGCATAATGGTATAACTGCCATGCAATCATTAGCTCGCCTCCACGTCTACTGGCCAAATATTGATAGGGATATTCTAGCTTTCTCAAAAAAATGTAATCTTTGCCAACAATCTAGGAATAACACCAGTAAACCTCCGGCATATCCGTGGGGTATACCAGAAGAGCCTTGGCACAGACTGCATATAGATTATGCAGGCCCTATTTACGGACACATGTGGCTAATAGTCATAGATGCTTATTCAAAATGGTTAGAAGTCATGCCTATGAAACTATCAACATCCAAAGCAACTATAGTAAAATTAGATAACATATTTGCTACATTCGGCGTACCACGATATATTGTTACCGATAATTCCTCAGTTCACGTATATATTCCACGATTATTGTAAGAAGATCGGCATTACACATATTAAAACGACACCATACCACCCCAAAACAAACGGACTAGCTGAACGCGCTGTGCGCACTTTTAAAGAAAGAATGTTAGCCAGCGACAGAAGCATTGACTTGTATCAACGTTTAAATAGCTTTCTTCGAGGATACAGAAACACCCCTCGTCGGTCGACTAACCGTTCACCATATGAAATGATGTTCGGAAGACCCATGCGTACAACCCTCCATCTTTTAAAACCAAACGTAAAAGAAAACCTGGAAAAAGCTAGGTTGTATCAGCAATTTAGACCTTCTACTAAAGTGGTAGTACCTCCAACATATAGCCCTGGTGATAAAGTATGGGTAAATAAAACAACTGGCAAAGGCTCTGATCCTGGTATAATTACAAAATGCAACGGACCTTACTCTTATATATCTTTAGAGATGGCGGATGGAATACATAGACGCAAACATTCTGATCAATTGCGCCCCAGGTCGAATAACGGTTCAAATGATAACATGGAAGTAAAACCCTTTACCTATTACAAACGCAACGCTAACGAGAGCAATTGGAGCGGTGATTGGGGGCAACAACCCACGCCTGCAGCTTCCACCAGTAGACAACACCCTGATGGTTCGCGACAACAGCCTACAGAAACGGCCACCGCATCAACCTCCCGAGCAGAGCCTGAGCTTGGTGTATCGATACAGTCGCCACCGCAGCGGCGTTCTGAGCGAAAGAGGAAGCCACCTGTACGTTTCGGTACAGAGCCATTTCCAATGATAGGGGGTAAATTAGGAGTACAAACCTCCTTATGAGGTTGTTAAAAGAATTATATATAAAAACTATTGTGACATTTATGACAAATGGATTAAATTATAAACTTTTGCTATGAATCAATCTGTGTTTTAATATACGATAATACAACAGGTTCTTCGAGCTATGTGACCAACTTATTACCACTTCAGCTTGCTTATCCTTCGGGCTATATCAGTTACTTTAGTTCTTTTGCGGATATCCTCATTTCGGGTTATATAACGCAAAGAGACTCCGAGCATAGCCCTCTCCATGGCCCGCTAAGTAATTTGAAGCTTTTGCATACGGGCAATCGTGTAGGACTATGTTTTGATTCCATAAGTTATCTTTTTTTAATATCAAAGCTGAATTCTTTCATCTATCGTAGCCTTTCCCAAAGTGGGCGATAACGGCCTCTCGTGAGCGTTGCAGGCCTAAAGGGGGGGCGGTAAGAAACCCAGAAAAAAGTAGGGGCGTTGTGTAGAGGCTTGAGGGATGATTTGTTGATCTTGAAGTAATAGTGGTTTTTAAATAAGTAAAAAAATGGAGGCGCTAAAAAATAATTTATTCTCAAAGTGGGCAGTAAACAAAATAAGTTTGGGGACCCCGGATCTATCGCAACGTTACAATCAAATCTCATTTCCAACATAAAGCTGTGTACTCACTGGCGTTGAGCGGTACGGCGGGCGCGCGCGCGTGGTACGCCGCGCCGCCGTACACCGCGTGCCGGTAGCCCGCCACGGTTACCACGGTTACCACGGTTACCCGAGCACGTTGGCAGACATCGCACGCAGCTGCTTATACTACGCAAGGCCACCGGGCTCAGTCGTCCGCTCCTGTAACAAGCAAAATCATAAAATTATAATGATACGATGTATATGGGAGATATTTACTAAAATTTGATATGAAAAATCTTTATAATAAAAAACAAAACAATTTCTATCAGATACAGAAAGGTTGACTGGAAGCGATCCCTTTTATGGGATAAGTTCGTCATTGTTCTCGTTCTTTTCTTAAGAACTCTGTATCCTATAATTTATGACTTTATTTTCCAATAAAGTGTTACAAACAAACATGACAAAACAATAATTTTTAGAAATATTATCTGTCTATTTGTATATATTTTTTTGTTTTTTTTTTTATTTAACTTAAAATGGTAAACAAGCTGACGGCTCACCTGATGGAAAGTGGTAACCGTCGCCTATAGACATAAGCAATACCATGGACACAACTGAGTACACACACACATGATACCCCCCATGCGTTGCACCACTGAGGACTCAGGTGTTATTCCTCTGTATCCTGTTTCAATATATACAAACAGAAACATAGCCATGCAAACACAATACGGTAAAAACACGAATGAGACAGAGGTTTTTTGTAAAAAGTTGAGGGAAACTTTGTACAAACCTGCAGGTGACAGAAATTTGAAAGTTTTATAATGTAAAATAACTGTATATAAACATAACACACCTTTTCTCTATCACTGTATAATGTAAATGAGAAATTCAGTATAATATGTACTGGATTGCTTAATAGTATTTCTTATGGTGTTCAATGAACTGTCATCCACACCATGCTATAATCTGCAGAGTATAAATATAGTCACGCGTCCGGAACAAAAAAGGGAATACCAAAAGCTGTCGCCTATTCTGGTGTTATATTATATTCAGTTTAAACATTATATATCTTATATTTTTAGCACACAAACACAGCCATTCAAACACAACTACTTCACGAATATTCCAGAATAACGCAAATAGCTGACAGTTAGCAAATTGCGTCAACTAAGGCGGAGGATGTTCGCTTGCAGTATGCAGATCTAGTCTAATCCCAGCATAAATATGCATTGTAAAGGGCATCCTTTACACAACTTACCATAAATTTATATTATAATGTATATATCATAAATTAGTATATGTTGATATAATATACATATTATAAAGTGTAAAACCAAGGAATTTAGTGTTTCAAAATATGAATCTTTAATTTCTTTATATCCGGCTCGAAGGACCATCTATAAAACTAGTATTGGTAATAATAAAAGTAATTTTTTAATTACAAATTATACCGATAAATTGTTTCAACAAATTGCTAAGATACACGACCACCTCCGGCACATAAAAAAAAAAATAAAGACACGGCAATAATAATTTCTAATCCATAAATAATATATCTACGATTTGATATTCCACATACAGTTATTTTACCGCCAATATTTTTATACAGAAAACAAAACTGGAACGCCATTTAAGTACGGTAAGAGAACAAAGTGCGGGGCAACATGTGGCCTCTACGACTCTCATCAAAGTTGCACGCCGTAGGCCGCGCAAACGCGGCGCTCGTGTCGCACCACTATTGTACGGTCCGCAGGTAAAACGTCATTACTCTTTGTTAATTTTAAAATTTAATATTCTCTACACATATTTTAAATATCCGAGTTTTGCTGCCACGTCGAGACGTGTCAATAGAAATCAAGTCATCATCATCATATCAGTTGTTAATTGCTCACCACTCAACATAAACTTTCCCCATAAGGGGAGTTTTTCCTATAGTTGCCACACCTGGCAGGCGAGTTGGCAACCGCAGTTAGGTTTTTAGTGATGTTTTAAGAGGTACGCTGCTACCTTTAATTCCCTTAGTCACCTCTGGCGACACCCACGGAAAAAGAAGGCGTGGGCTATTCTACGCTATGGCCATATGGCGTAAAAATTAGGTATATAAGTACTATTTAACTGTAATCGCGTCACATTAAGTCTCAATGACGGGAGGAAGAGATTTTTAGTAATGAGAACCTTATAGCTCTATTGCTAGCAATATACCCCCCATCAGGTCGATCTCCACGCAGTTCCTCCTGGAAACCATATTGGTTCATTCATATAGAATATGAAGACTTTGTACAAAAGTCGATTGCTTGGGTACTTCTGTCCCATTCGTGTTTTTACCGTGAAACAGTTCTGTTTGCATGGCTGTGTTTCGGTTTGAAGGATGGGATATGGCGTGAATTTACAGGGTACAGAGGAATAACATCTGAGTCCTCAGGAATAGCAACGCATGGGGGGTATCAAGGGCGAAACAGTATACTCTGTTATGTCCATGGTACTGCTCATGTCTATAGGCGACGGTTATCACTTTTCATCAGGTGGGCCGTCAGCTTGTTTGCCATTCTAAGCTGTATAAAAAAATAAAATAATAATAAATTAGTCACTATGAACCAACAGATTATTTTAATGTTCATTATTCTTTCTTTAAAAACGCTTATCTAATCACAATACAGTAAAGACTAGCAACAAACGAGCAACTGTCCTCATGTTGCAAGTATTCATAAGTGACAATAGTTGGTTTCCATTAGGTGGCCTGTCTGCTCGCTTATCTCTCTAGTAACAAAAAATTTGAAAGATTGGTAACTTCTCTAAGCAAACTAGTACTTATTATGAAGTATTAACGACTACATTTATTTTGAGGTTTCCTTGTCTAACACGATTTTATTGCACTTGTTTCCTTAACACTGATAGACGAGACATCTTAAGAATATATATTTTATCTAAATCGGTTTATAACTGACGGAGTTATGAGATAACATATGAGAGAACATAAAATTAACACTACAGAATTGAGAAAATCCACCTTAATAAATAGTTTTACAGAAAAAAATATTTTCAAACCACATCAAAGCGGAAGTAGACACCTTAATTTAAAATAAGAATCATGAAATTGGAAAAAAATTGTCCAAGTTACCGCTATGAAAATCCACGAAAAAAATCTCAAGTAATACAATCGACGGTACGATTTATGACGTCATTTGAAAAGTACGTAAACCTACGTGTTATCTGCTGACGCTACTATTGTGTACATCGCAAGTTTTCGTCGCGCCTAGTATGTACATTCGACAATAAAATGCATATTAGATAACCATGTTTTGTTGCCACTACGTGATTGGCTGACTGTACGTGAGCACCCATATTACTTGGTGAATTTATACGAGCCACACATATAGAATTATTGTTACGATTATAAGATCGGCCGGAGTAATGGCAACCCTTCCCTCTGTGGTCGATATTTATTAACGTGCAATTATTAGGAAATATATATATATATATATACATATATAACTTGTACATATTGTAAACATTGCCGTGTGATCCCGGCATAGAATGACCCCTTACTTTTCTGTAGGTGTCGTAAGAGGTGACTAAAGAATTTAATGGTCGAGGGATGAGCAGCAGCGTCCCTCTGAAAACATCACCAAAGCCTAACTGCAGTTGTCAACCCACTTGCCCAACGTGGTAACTACTGGTAAACACCCCTCCCTCCTTATGGTGGCCTTTGTTCAGCAGTGGACAGTTAACGGCTAATATAATGTAATGTAATAATAAATAAATTGTTAGGACTATTGGAAACACTGTTTTTTGTTATTGTGATTACAACATACGCACGCACACATACACCAATACACACACACAGTGTGTACATACACACAAACTCACACGGTGTGTGTATGTTGTAAATATATACAATAAATATTTATTAAATAAATAAAAACAATATTTGATTATGTAAGTGGTAAAACACAAAATCTACGAGACAAAATTTTAAAAAAGATGATATAAAAAAGTGATACATGAAAGAAACTAACAAACCCTTTCCCCCGATAAGTAATAACTCCATTTGGTACTAATAGTACATTCAACTAATAAGTTTTGTACGCTAAGAAAGGGTTGTGTTAATCGAATTAACGCCCCGGAAACGACAACAAAGCCAAATGTGCCAACCCTTGTAGCTGGGTTTAATCTAGATTGTAAGAATAAATAAAAACGTCTGCCTAGAGTATTAAATGTAAGCTAGAATTATATAAGTTTTAAGATTCTAAAAGAAAAACAAAAAGAATTCGTATTAATTATTTTTGTCACCTCCTGCAAAGGAATACGATCAGCATCAGGGACATGACAGAATAAACTGTAACGCCTATAGCTCTTGTATTACGTTGCTATTTCTTAAAATTAAAATGTCATGCCTCCGTACACTGTTAATTTTAATGCTATACCTTAACCCTACAAAATAAACCCAACCATGTAAATACTATTGCTAGACGGCAGACGCCTTTTGTACAAAATTTCATTTATTTATACTTAAATATTTATCATTTTCTCACACCCACGCACACATGCACATATGTACACACACACACACACACACACATACACACACACGCACACGCACACGCATACTCATACGCACACACACATACGCACACACACATACACACACACACACACACAAACACACGCACGCGCACACACACACACACACACACACACACACTAACACGCACACGCACACACACAGGCACGCCAATACAAACAGGTACACACACACGCAAATACGCACGCACACTACATACACTTTCTGTCTCTGTCTCGCCCCACACTGGAATTGCCTGGACAGAATTGTCAATCAACAACCTGGTCGGTTGTCCATTTTTCGAACAACATAACCACATCAATTTGCCGATCTTTCGGATTGTATGATTACTTGGATTCTTCTGTGGATACCCTCATTTCGGATTCTACCAAGCAGTGAAGCCCCAATAAAAAATATAAGATATATACTGGACCGCGTGTGAGATACGTGCCCCTGCTAACTCGAGCACGTTATCACCAAAAGGAACAAATTGAGCAAGCATGGTTGTACATTCTTTACTCAAAGCTGAGATAAATTACTGCACTTATTCAATATCTCCGATTCAAAGTATTAAATTACTTTAAAAATAACAAAATTAAAATGCAGATAATGAATAAAACCTAATCGCAACTAATTAATAATTTAATTAGTTACG